GGCAGGGAGGACGGGAAGGGAGGACGGGAGGGGAGGACGGGAAGACAGACAGGGAAGACGAGCGAATAATGAGTTATTTTACAATTTATTTACGAGATGATTTGAATTGTTAAGTAATCTATTTTTGCGACCGGGTTTTTATGAAATCATTCCTTCTATATTCATCATTGGACGAAGAGGGTTGGCCACTACGCACCCATTCCGCTCCTCCGCGCACTGTGCTCACATTTCACCAACCTGCAACCTACCCGGCTCCTCCCCATTCACACCATCACTCTTTCTGTCCACTATTACGCACTCTCCGAGGTAGCGAAGCGAAGCCACAACACCGTCTCTGACCGGCAGGCCCTAGGGTTTCTGTCCATATGGTGGCGAATTTCCGTCTCTAGCTACACAGATAGGTCGCTGTCTGGTGGAGAATTCTAGCGACAGGTTGCTCTGATCGGTAGTTTACCGTACTTTCTCCGATCAACCCCAGACGAATGCCGGAGCAGTACCCTAACAAACGGGCCACGGGCCGTGCGATCTTTCTTTCCTCCTCCTTGTCTCATTCCTTTTTTACACATACCTACACTAACATGCAGTACACTACCACACATGCCAGGTGACCGGTCGGGAGCTTAGAGTTTGTCCCGGCTGGGACGGCACACGCTGGTGGGAGATACTTGAAGTTGTAACTTCGCAAGCAAGTGTGTAGGTCGGCGCCGGATCTCACATTCAACGAGGAAAAAACACCCCTAATAGAGATATAACTTGCACAACAGCCATGGGGTTAACGATCTTAGCAGTTGACGCGCCCGGCAACAAAATAATCAATCTTATGCAACCTGCCCGCTTACGCACCACTTGACGTCTCCGTAACCACCCTACGCGCCCTCTCCCACACTAGAACGCCTCCGGAAACGTCAGGCCGCCTCGCTGACTCTAACTAAACATCACCACCCTTCAACGCAAACTGCCCATCTACTCTACTCCGCTGCCGCACGCCACTCGCCAGTCTCCTGATCGCCCGGTCCCGTTCGTACAGCACCGTGCCCGGCCTCGCCCCGCCCCGTTCCGACACCTCCCTGCCGTCTCACCTGTCCCGTCGCTCCCGCCCGCTCCGCCAACTCCCCTTCCTCACGCTGCATCCTTCGTACCGTGTCCCCTCTTCCGTTGCTTCTTCCGCCGTCCCGCCCCCCCTCGCCATCGCCGCGTCAAATCCGCATTCGTCGCGATCGCTACCTGTCCGGCCCCGCACGCACACCCGTCCGTCCGTCATCGGTCCGCCGCGCCTCGCGGCGCGTGGGCGGGCGTCGGGCGGGCGGCGCCGCGCCGCGCCGCTCGCGTCCGCTGCCGCTGGCGGACGCGGCGCCATGCGACCGCGCGCGCGGTACGAGGCGTCCCATAAACCGCAACTGCGGCGTCGGCGGCGTCGGTTGGCCGTGCCCGCCTCGGCGCCGCCCACCGCCGCCGCCGCCGCCGCGTTTGCGCGCAGGTGCGCCGCCCCGACCCCTGCGCCGCTGTGCCTCTGCCTGGCGGCGCGCTCTTCTGCTGGTGGCAGCCCTGCCGCCCGGCGCCGCCGAGGCCTCGGACCGCTGCGCGCTCTCCAGCCGCCCTCTGCAGCCTGCGGTGATGCGCCAACTGCCCCGCCCCCCGCCCCCGCGAATTTCCGCTGCATTTGCACAACATTTTTATTTATTTAAATTCTTTATTTATTTAACAGTTAAAAACTGGTGTGACATTTAACACCAAATGGACAATCAGAGGTGAAACCAGCCGAGGTGTCTTCGATCGATGTCATGCAAATGCAGAAGTATCCTGACAAACGAGCCACGAACCATGCGCAATCTTTCCTTCCTAAGCCGTGTCCCCTCATATAGTCTCTTAAATACACCAATGATGCGACATCAAGATACAAACGTTGATGTTCAAAATTACAAAATCTATTTAATATCTAATTTCATTGGGAGTTTGTGCACCCTCGAACGTTAAAGCACTATCCATCTTCTGTGCATAAGCAGTTCAAGTTTCGCATCACTTTGTGCAACTGCGCATGCGCAGAAGATTGACAGTACAGTCCGCTAGGGCGTGCACAAACTCCCTAATATCTCGAATACGAATTTCGAATCTCGTAATACGACCAAAAACAATCGACGATTCAAAACATGGATATTTTAAAGCTGGTTTAGCATTATAATACATTAAATTTTTGTCCAACAAAATTAATTTTGACATTGGCCGTGCTTATTAATTTTTAATTAGGATTTTACCGAAAACTAAATTTGAAAGAATATAAAAATAATGGACAAAATTAAGTTTGGGCGCCCAGGGTCGTCTCAGAGTTTCAGCCCTCATTTCATCGAAGGATGTTACAGGAAGAAAGGGAGATGCCCTACAACTACATCACATGCATTGACTATCTCACCACGTGTGAAATACGAAGAAAGGCCTAGAAAATGCCAGATTATGGGCATCATCGGACGATAAATAATATGCTCAATAAAAGTAGTACAAATAGCCATCCTGTGGTTAGAACGCAAAACCAACCAGTTATGTTTTCGTATTTTAACTTATACAAAATTGGCATTGTGGAAATTGGTAATTTAGAAATAAAACATCAAAAGCGTAAAAACATTGATCACAATACATCGTTGTTAAAAAACATAGGCTTCAATGTATCGATGTTTAAAACATGGATATTTCTATAAAAACATGTAAACATTGACATCAATGTCGCATTCCTAACACACACACACTCACTAACAGCTACCACACTTGCACCATCCCAGGAGATCAATAAAACGTTTGCATCTTGTTCCGCCTGGTGAGGAATTACGCTGGCGGAGATAATTGGAAAGCTACTCTGAGGCGAAATGCAATGGAATTTCATAACTCAGAACACTCCATTCTGCCCTGATTACAATATTGCCGTACGCAGCGACATTTATTTTAAATATTCATTATACACGAGGGTTGGACGAGAAGTCATGGCAACTATTATTATTATAAACTATAATTATAAAGAAGTGTTATCTGATGACATAATTTGTTTTGACACTATATATTATCAGAAAGTCATAATGTACTAGCGTGTGTTCACAACAACAGATACTTCATTGAGAGTCCTTATTAGAATACAGAGAGGATGTGTAATCAGTTGAGACTGCCACCGTGTGAGATGGGTGCAGCCCATTTCGAGCAGCGCATAGGCACAAAGATAGCCGTTCTCCATAGGGGAAATGCCAGATAATGAAACAGGGAATTGGTGGAAGCTCTTCCTAAGATCTATCGATCAGACGCGAGGTGGCAGGAGAGTTTCTGCGTGGATGCACAGTAATCACATAGCACAATAATTGGTAACGCACTTATCGACCTGTAATTGTATCGGTCAGACGGGACAGACGGACGTTTCACCATAAACCGATTTTTCGGTATGAAGTCTCCACAAAACAAGGGTTCTGACGAAACACCCTAATAGAGGGCCCACTTTGCTGTATGTAGGAACTATAAGAATTCCTTTTCTATTGTCACAGTTCTATAATATGAGTTTTTATGTGAAAAATCGCCATTTCATTGTAGCATTATAAGAATTGCTCTCTACTATGTAAGTAAAATGCGAGAAATAAAAAAAACAAAAACTTATAAGTTTAAAGAATAAAATTAGAATATGATGATTCAATGCCTACAATTACTTTGTCTTACTTTGTTAGCTAATGTTGTTAGATACATTAAAAATAAATAATCGGAACAAAAACCAAATGACAAAATTGGGAAAATGCTTTGAAAACAGTAAAAAAATAACTAAAGCGGTTTGAATGTACAAAATTTAATAACACTGTGTTACAACTATTTTAGCTCCTAAATTTATGAAATTGTGCTGTCAGATGTTTCTTTCAGATAAAAGCTAAACTATTAATATTACGAAGACTCGAAAATAGAAGACCCTCCAATTAACAAGAGGTGGAAGTAAGACTCCTTCAAAGTATACACAAAGCAACTGGCATGGGAAATTATCAGAAAAAGACTTGAAATGCCATGTAACTTTAGTAGGATGGACCACTAATATAAAAAAACAGGGAGGATAAATAGGTATTCAGAACGTATATTACATATTTATCTGTTCTAAGACAGTTTTTCTATTCTTTCAGATATTCAGACAATCGTTGCTGGTAATTTAAGCAATGACCAACGCAAGTAGATAATTAAACAATACCGGAAGACAGAGAATTCTGAACATGTTCGACGGAAATTGAAGAATTCAATACACCTGCACCAAGTAGACAATCAATTTACAAGTTGCACAACAAAGTTGAGTAAACTGGGTCTATCTGTAGTGCGGCCGAGAGTGGTCGACCACTGAGTGGTACTACGAGTATCTATGAAAATTAAATGGTAGTTGCTGAGTCATTTATCCAAAGCCCAAAGAAATCCGAAAGGAGATCCTATGTAAATGCCGAGCAACTGAGACATTGCACTTTGTAATTCAATTTGTAAGTCATCCATATTGTGACTTCATAAATATATTTTCTAAAATAAATACGTTTTTCCATGTTGTTTCATTATTATTTCTTAATTAATCTACTTTCTAATATAATAATAACACCTACTGTTTATCTACTTATACATCCACTATATAGTGTAGAAAACAAAGAATAGGAGTTGGAATTTTAAGTTTTGTGAATAGCTTTATTGATTAGAACAATTTGCTTGCGGAGGAGCACGGAATGTACACACGTTCGAGACTTCTCAAAGACATAAGTGTACAGTGCATTGATGTGCAGTGACGTTGTGATGTTTTACTCGATAAGGAAAGGCTAAAATATATATGGGCAAAGTGCAATGGATATACATATCGTTAATGAATGAATCACTGGGTAGCAAAAGGTAATTAATTGAAGTGAAGTGATGGAGCACATTTTATTCTTTATATATTTGCAATTTATTATTATTATTATTATTATTATTATTATTATTATTATTATTATTATTATTAACTTTTATTATTAACAGTCACTTACCAATGTCATTCCAGTTCCCGGAAACGCCTAATGTCCACGGTGAACTCCAGAATAAACTGCAAAATCGAAGAAGAACTGTTTAAGAACTAATTTTACTTTTACAGAGCAATATATTACAGCAATTTTCGGAAAGTTATTGTTAAAATATTTTCGCTCTTGTGGTATGGCAAAAGGTATAGTGTATGTTCTGAACATTTTCTTTACTTGCAGTCCTTATTGCTGAGACATGTGTGCTGAATTAGTTGAAGCTGAATTCGCTCTGTTGCTTGGAATGCGCAACCTACATTACCATTCAGTAAAATATTTCAACGTGTGTTTCTGCAGGCTTCGCAGTAAGAAACGCAGAAGTTTCAGCGCGGCGATTACTCATGGCGGTTTCGAGTAATTGTACTGTACACTTCTGATAAGCGTTGAAACTATCATTTAGGGTTAGGAAACGTTAAAGAAAGGGTTAAGGTTAAGAACGGTTTAATCATTTACACCCTAAACGATACAATAAAAAAATCTTAAAGAAATGGGGGAAGTGCTTTGGTAGGATCCGTCGTTGGCTCTCCTTCTTCCCTCCAAAGGCATCCTCTCCAAAAGCACTGGCTATTGCAACACAGTAATCCCTCGACATCCGCAAATTCCGAATATTCGCGATTAGAGAAAAGCTCCATGCTACAAGAGTTATAACATTCCCGAGCGCGTCTTTTGGTCGTAATACCCTGTTTTGAAGCAAGCACATTTCATTTCCCTTATCAGGGACATCTGGGAAACTCCGCAGAGACCGAAGCAAAGAATAGCTTTCTGCAAAAATGTCAAACTTGGAATGTCAATTCACATTAATAGAATAACACAACTATAAAATAATTCAATTCAGTGCAACTCCCATTATAATGATCTCACTGAAGAGGGGTTTTGGGAAATCATCAGAGAAGCAAACCTCTTCGAACGTAATGATGAAGTAACGGAAGCGAAACTGCGTTCTAGAGCAACTTCAATGTCAAAACAGTTAATGGCGTTCTAAAAAATTCAACAAACTCTGGTGAAAAGGCGTTCGAATGTGAACGGAACTTCGAGATTTAATAGGGAAAAAGAAGCAGTAACTCTTCCATAATTGTATGTTAGAACCAGGAGGGTGATGAAACAAAAAATAAACAAATGCTATATCCAATTACTTTCAACTATGAAATAAGTTTCAAATATTTTTTTAAAATTTCTTCTCTTAGGTATGTTAATTGTGAATTCTGTTTGAGGTAGAGGTTATTCAGTTTTACTACGATTTTTTGTCAAATTTTCTCTTTTTTCTTTTTTAATAGGTTTTTCGATTTCCAGGAACCTAACCAACCTTCCTTAATTAAAAGATAGACCCAATATTCGCGATGCGTTTTGCGTACCAAACACTCCTAAATGCTGAGGGATTACTGCAATTCATTTCAAGACAGAAAACAAAGATTGAATGTCGAAGACATCCATCCACCTGTTAGTTCCAGTTCGTAGGCAAAATACACATGTGATTATATTTGTACGTAGTTAAACGAACATTATTCTACTTACAAGAAGTTTAAATAAATAGGTATCAGACAATACATTCCTTCACATCTGCACGAAATTATACTTACAGGGCCATTTAAAATGAAGAGAAACCTATTACACATTTTTGCAGTTCATACCAAAGAGCGAGTTCAGGAAGTTTATGAAGTTGCATTAAAATAATTGTTTCTTTTATAAAACGGCTTATCAGATAAATTGTTCAGGAAGTTATGCTCAAGGATCATTGAAATCTATTCTACTAATTTCCAATACACGCAGAAACTGAAAGAAAACTTCGCAGAGTTCGTTTCTTTGAGAGTTTCTATAGTTTAGAAGCAACTCAGAAATTCGAAAGAAATCAAAAAACAAGAAACATTTTTGTTTTGGCTGAAAAAGCTGTTATTTTGCTAGCGCTGAACGATTGATTTTTCATCCTCAATGCGTCATTGTTTACGACACAATCGGCGTTATGTGACATCAGAGCACTTAGGAAAGGGCAGCTTGCCATTCATTGTTTTATTCACGTATTGCATTTTGGAACAGCAGCTTATTCTCGATATGTAAATTTTTTTTGAGATTCACATGTACTGTGTATCCATATATACTGTATTATATTATTGCAGTATTTAGGAATGTTGTTTGTGTTAAAACATTTACTTAATCATAGTGTTATACGAGCGTATTTTATTTCTTATTCTTGAGATGTTCTACTTTTTGGAAAACTATTTTGTCTTATTTTGCTTGGTAACATGTTTGCTGCTAGAGGCCATTGTCTCTGTCTGTACTGGCTCAACAGCTCCTGACGAAGCCAAGGCATACCAGCAGTGGCTGGCGACTATTAGTGTTAGAAAAATTTATAGCTAATAAACTTTCATGAATTAATTTTAATTCTAAATCGTACAAACCGCACATCAGAATACTCAATTAGTACATGAAGACCGCAAGACCGACTTTAGAATTTCAGATGCCTCTCATCCCAACTTCGCTCTGCTCCGGCGATCTGCTCGAGGGCAGCAAACGGCGAGGGAGCGGCTGGCTTTTGTCCAGCTTGTTTGCCGAAATGAGCCACCGTGCGCCGCTGGCACCACCCCCGCAGGCCTGCCACCCTCCGCTCGAACGCAGCAGCTGGAGAGGCGTCCGCGATGACGGGTAGCGAGTTCCGCATTGTCCCCGGCGGGACGACGCAGCAAACAAAAAGACTCGGGATGAAAGCCTCCCGCCATCATCGTGCGGCGGGCGGGCGGGCAGGCAGGCAGTCAAAAGCTCGGACGAGAGACTGCTGCCCCAAATAACGCTGTGGCAGCGACAGGGGAATGCCATTGGCTGTCCTCGATTTCCCCCCAACGATGTTCCCTCAGGCCGCGTGCAGGATTTCAGTAATGAAGCGGAACTTTAACGTACTTAACTGCGAAGAGGTCGTCATTTGAATGTGCCTTTGCAGAAAAAAAAGGTTTAAGAGAAAATATTAAGCGTTACATTATGTTTCAAATGCTCGTATAATACATATCTCATAGGAAAAATGTACATAATTATTCAAAAATAATTGAAAAACGTATGCATTTCTACTGACAGAAAAATCTATTAAAAATAAGACAGTGAAGGTTTATAAACTCCCTGCATTCACACGAGGATGAATCTAAATAAATTCAGTGTAATCATATGTCCATCAAAATTCACGAAAGAGCATGTTGAACGGAATACAATTTATAAGTATGTATAATTTACAAAACGAAGAATGTAAATAAAAAAATTAAATGAAATTCCGAATGCCGCTCTTATTAAAAGACAAAGGGTGCGGCGGCTCATGTATTAGCGGGAATACAAATTTGTTTGAATGAAATTAAGAATGAGGTCATATGGATGTTGAATAAAATAAGAGATAGGTTAATACATGCATTTGTGTCGAGTAATATAGAATATATTTAAAACACGATAGAAAGATCAATGCTGAATATTTCCAATTTATCACAGGCAACTCTCTTTCCTATTTGCATACAAATATTTACTTTTACTAGCCATATAGTATGTTTTGAGATAAAATTATGATTAAACAGCAACTTTTGAAACAACGTTTACCTGTACTTATTCAAAACGCCTGTGTATTTTAGAGGCAGATGTGCAAATTGAAAAGGTTGTCGGGTAGCCTGATGCGATCGAGTTAATCCTTCTCTATCTGAAAGTCAGATATTTACAATCGCAAAGTCTTCGATAAGCTGACAAACAATTTGCACTAAATAAGACAAACAGCGCAGGATATTTAGGATTTCCTCCAAACAACAGGAACGACGTAACGTGCCACTCGCTGTGTCTAGTGAAGACACTCTCAATTCTCCAGTAAATACAGCCGTCATATATTTTATTTCATTCACCAGGAACCCAGATGTGGTATCAACATTCGAAGCCTTTTTTTGCGCAGCAGTACATAACAAGCGTTCTGTTATATTCTGTTGAAATTATTTACTTAATTGTTGTAAATGAAAAATGCAAGTACAAGTTAACTAAAATAAAACAGTATAGTTGTTTTAATTACATTGTTGTTTTTGAATCAAATCAATCGAATCACTCACGAACATCAATTATTACGTTACATATCTAATTTAGAAGACCTTGGGAAAAACCAACGTACTCTTTCTTCTTCCGCCTCTTCTTCTTCCGCCTCTTCTTCTTCCGCCTCTTCTTCTTCCGCCTCTTCTTCTTCCGCCTCTTCTTTTTCTTCAAGCATTGGACTGTAGATCTGTTGCGCACTCATTGGTCCTTCCACCTTTTCTTCGGTCGTCCAACAGACCGTTTTCCTTTAGCGCGGTATTGGGTCACTTCTTTTCGAGTCCTGGAATTTTCCATTCTTTTACGTAGTTTGCCCATGCGCTCCTGAATTTTTAAAAAAAAAATTCATTTAAATTAAATATTTCTAACTTATTTCTTACATAATTTCTTATTCTGTGTTCTCTTGTAGAGCCCGATATTGATCTCAAAAATCTCATTTCAGATGCCTGAATTCTACTGCGGGGTTTGTTATTCAGTACTCTCATTTCACTTCCATAGAGACCAGTTGACACAGCTAACGTTTTATAAAATTTTACGAGAGTATCTTTCCTTTCTTTGTTTTTAGGGTTCTTATAATCGTGCCGTATATGTGACTAAAACGGTCTATTTTCCTTTTCTACATCAACTTTCCTTTGTATGAAATGTCACAGCCTACCAACTAAAACAATCAAACTTGTTCAATGATTGTATCATTTATTAACAGTTTACATCTTACAGAAAAGCTTCCTTAAAATACCATGGACTTGATTTTTTCTACTGAGATTTTTAAGTTATAAGAATACTCTGCTGTAATCTGTTGTAATTGAAGCAGAGCTCTCCGTAATTTGTTTTTATTGTCTGTAATAAGTACCTGATCATCAGCAATTATTAAAGTATTAATACAATTACATTTTTAAAGTTGCCTTTAATATGGAAAAAATAATATGTTTCCATTCTCTAACGGCGTTGTCTAAATAAAGATTAAATGAAATGGGTGAAAAACTACACCCTTGTTTAA